TTCCCCCCCCCCCCCCCCCCCCGCTCTCCCCCCCTTCTACCGGGTTGAGAGAAGCATTGATCGGTTACCATGGACGCCAAACGCCGTCTTGCGGTGGTACATGTTGCTCACCCCACATCTCGGGAAAAAGCACGAAGGACAAGCAACACAATCAGGACAGCAAGCGAATGACGAACTTGAGTTGCCATGCATTGTGTTGCTGGCTCAGAGAATGGTGCGGTGTGGGATGACAGATGAAGACGGCAAGCCCAAAACAAGCCAGGCAAACGTTTATTATCTCTCCTCCATGGTTACACGGCCGTAGTTGTGTAGTTCGGTTCCCGGGAGCCTTGACCTCCCTCAATCTCTCAATGCAGTACCATATGCATACGCATACGTGCGACCGTCTACGGGACGGCTGGTATATCATACTTGCGGGTTTCATCGATCATCGTCCCAAATCGAGTACCGTAAAAAAGGCGGAGAGATGGCACCGGGGTGTGTGCATACAACACCACCGTAGAACGAGAAAGGAAGCGCTGTGTGTAATTCATTGGGCATCGCACCGGTTGGAGAGATCGCACCGGGGTGCCACAAAAAAAATGACAGAAAAAACACGTAAACAACGATCGCACTCGGTACCACCTCTTCTCCGCCTTTTACGGTAACCCATTCCCATTCGCCAAGATCGTATGTACGAATATCAGGAAGGTGATGTCCGACGGAAAAGCGGGGTAATTGGTTCTTCTGTGGGCGGACGCGCAGTGTTTGTTGTTGTTGTGTGTGTGTCAAGGACTGTTGGCTTCTAACCGAGACGGTACATAATTTCTTTACTTCCGCTCCGAAAATGTAATAATAATGGCTCCATGGCATCAACCAACAACCGACGGCCCGACACAGCAGCCTTCTTTTGTTTTTATTATTAGCATCGACCGCGCCTTCTTGTGTGTGTTTGTACATGACGGACCCACGTGCACAAAATATATATGTAAACACCATAAATACCCTAGACCAACCACAGTAACAGAACTATCTAAGAAACACCACCGTTAGATGTGAGGTCGGTGCACGGCCGGGTGAAGAGACAGCTACTGCTGTTAGATTGGCGTGCGCTCTACTGCTGCACATCGTGCTCTATTCTGCTGCAGATAAGTCAAGGTAGGAGGAAGTGGCGTGTACTCCAACGTGGAGACGAACATTATCGAGATCGGTGGTTGATGAATACATACGCATACATATGCATAGCGCTACAGGATGGAGGTGCACAACAAATACACCCACCGCCGCCGTACAATGCATAGTCTACATACCGAAACTACGGAGTTTTCCCCCCCTAGTACAGATCCCCCCCCCCCCCATTACCTTTTCGGCCTGGAAGCATGGTTTCGTTGATTTAGCCCCGGGGTAGATCGTTTTCGACCAAAAAAAAAAGATCCCCCCGGGTACTATTTCAATTTCCCCCCGGGGTACCAGTTCCCCCTCGGGTTTGGGTTTTCGTCGCTTGGCAACGACGTTGTAAAACAAGCCGCCCCCCCCGGTGTTTGCCATCGGGGTTTGGGTTTTCGTCGCTTGGCAACGACGTTGGAAAACAAGCCCCCCACTCGGTGTTTGCCATCGGGATTGGGTTTTCGTCGCTTGGCAACGACGTTGTAAAACAAGCCAATTCACTTCGTGAACTCGGCAACCAGGTTACCGTTTTTTTTTTTACGTCGTTTTTTTTTGTTGGCGGTAACCATAATGGTGGTCGAGTAGATCATGTTGTGCGGGGTGGAGAAACCTCACTCCGCGCAACGGGGGATGATCGCACCACGTTGTGTTAAAATGGTCAAGCTTCCTCGAGGCAGTTACACAGTGCTTACAACTGTCTCTGGAAGTGAAAGCACCAGAAAATAAATTAAGTCATACGTAGCTGTCATCCGTACGCAAGGAAGTAAGCACAAGATGCCGAACACCCTTAGCAGGATGGCAGCTCACCCTTCATGCGACTCGCCGAATACCTCACGGCGCTTCGCGCTTGGTGATGTGAGAGCCTGGTCCGGTGAGAACCCGGCGTGCTCCGTCCCGGCTTTGTAGGGATGCGAGGTCAATGGTCAAACGACTACGGCATGCACGACTATGAGTACACCCCCCCCGGGGTACCAGTTCCCACGAGTTCCCCCTGGGGGGGATGTACTGTATTTCCCTTATATTTTGAGTCGATTTTGTTGCATAACGGAGCAGTGTGAACGGAGCTGGCGGGTACTCTCTGGAAGGCGGGCCCTTCCTCTTCTTGGAATTACTCGCGGGACGAGACAAACACCCCCAGCTGCTGTCCTCCTTGCTGTCTTTTTGCTCTTCGCCTTCGTTGCTCTTACGTTCCTCCTTAATCTGCTTGTTGAACTGAACGCCTTATCCATCTCAGTTTCGCCACTCTCTCTGTGTGTGGTGTGTGGACCATCATTATGTTGCACAACTGTTATGGTATTTGGACCCTTGTCGTCGCATCTTCGTCACGCAACCCCCCGGGGGGGGGGGCTTTCCCCCAAGATAGCGTTGCAAAAAAAAACAACTAACCTAACCCCCCCGCGGTACGTCAATTTCCGCCCGGGGGGGTTGGTTTCAGAAAAAGAAACGATCCCCTCCCCGGGGGGGGGAAACTCTGTAGTTTACTGTATCTTTCAAATTCAAAATTTCAATTTTTCATGGAACTCTGCTGGAAAGAAGTTGATTACCTATACTACAGCAAGCAGTAATTACTCTAAACCCTAACCCTTCGATATGTGCATTATTTTCAGCAGTAGTACTGCTTGTAGTACATCTGACGGAGTCCAGAACCCGTTGGGGTGGGACTGCCCTCTTGACCGAGAGGCAGAGCGCGAAGCGGCGAGGGACAAAAAACAACACCGAGGTACAGAAGAACCGTCGGTCATCGTAACCTCTCCCTCGGCACCCGCACCCAGAACTGCAACCAACGGCTATCACAGGGCAATGCAGTGATGATGCAGTGGGAGGTTGCGCGAGCCAAAAGAAAGGAACAAGGAAGCCGACCCCGCAAAACTACCTCAAGAACAGCAGCAGTCTACCCTCTGATGTACCACATTGATTGACGTCATGAACGGCCTCTGCTGTTGTTGTGGTCACTTGCTGCACGCTTGTGCGGCAGGCAGTCAACGGTGGAATAATTATCAGTTGCCTTTTCATCCAGGTGTGGCCTTGCGGAGGACTACATCGATCGTGGTCACGCTACAAAAACGCGTGCCATGACGGAACAAAGTTCGTTCGTCTCTGCAAAGTTTTGAAAAAGACGAAGAGTCAGTCTGCTGCAGCTGCTGGCCTCGCTTTGGCTTCAAAACAATCAGAAATTCGACCGCGCTCTTTCTGTGTGAAGGCATCACCCGCACACACCACTCTCGGGCCCGGCCGAGCCATGAAATGATTGTTCGTGGGATGCAGAGATGTGCTCGGCAGACCTCATCAGAACAGAGAACACTTGTATGCATGCACACACACGCCACACCACACACGAGCAGAGAAGGGAGTGTATGACCTACAAAACGCAGAGAAAAAACCTGAAAAATCGAGCGCCGTCGTCGTGTATCATACCGAACGATCTCGAAACAAGGTTCTACCATCATCCCTCCTCTGTACTTGGTGCGCAGCAGCACGCACACATACCTGAGGGAGGACCTCGCCCTCGCTCTCGCATGTGTGCAGCACTCCCAAGGTGGCTACATCGGTGACGTCGTCCATAGTGTATCCGTCCCCCCCGGACCTCTCCACGATCCCGCAACCGTCCTCCCCACGGGGCTGTCCCTGAAGAGTGGCTCGCGCCGTCACCACCTCCCTGCGGCACCCGTCGAGAGCCGAGCCGCCGCAGCTCCCTCCTTCGAGCCAGTCCGACGCCGCGAGGGAGCTCTCCGCCCTCGCCAGCAGCTGCCTCACCTGCCCCGCCGTGGCTGCGCGGAGGAGCGCGAGAAGCAACGCGACAAACATCATCACGAGAGGAGAACACCGCCAACCGCAAGACATCCTCCTGCTTCTTCCCCGCGGTGGTCGCATTCTCTGTTTATTTGCTCCCTCCGATAGAAACGCTCCCCACCCTTTCTCACTCTCAGCTTCCTGGACCCCGCACGGGCGAGAGGAGCGTATCTCCAACCACCTACGCGGCGAGTCCGCTGGGACGGGGCTCTGCCCCGTGCAGCAGCAGCGGGAGGTTGTATTTGGAATCTCTAATAGATGATGGAAGTCGACACAAAACAGATCTGTATCATTTTTTTTTTTTTGTCTTCACATTAAAAACCGTTCCGTTCTCTCTGCTCAGTACCTTCTTCTGTCCGTACTAGTCTTATAACTTGACGGGGTCGATTCCCGTGGTCACAGGGTAACTTACGGAAGATCCAAAATTAAATGTGGGCCAATCAATTGCGAACCCGCTCGAAAGCTTTTCCAGCTTGTCAGCTCGTCCGTTTGTTTGTTTTTCGCTGCTCCTCTTGCGGCCTGTTGTTCCGTTTTTTTTTTGCGCGATGCAGAGGTATACCTACGGTGGTATGCATATGCACAGGTCACCGCCTCGGCCCCGCCAACACACGTGTCAGGGCACAGGACGGACGGGTGGGTGCACTAAAGTGCGGCGTGAATAATAAAGCAGTCTTATTTGTTATTTGCGGAATCAGAATCAATATATATAATCAAATCGTGAATCGTTTGCATGACGACATGCCGAACTTTTCGAACCCAAGTCGCGAGTGAGCACAGCAGCAGCTGCATATTTTGCCTCGAGCAGTTCGTCCGACGGCCGTATTCCACTGCTGTAGACAGTCAGTCTGTTTCCCGGTCGCGTTCCTCTCGCACCTAGGCGCTATAGTCTAGGGCCAGGAAGACCAAACTACTGCAGAAAAAATACAACTTCGATGCCGCTATACAAATATATATGTACGTATCTGATCTTACGTCGTCATTTATCATATCGCGTCCTCTCTCTATTTGTACCACAACAATAATAAGGTATAGCAGACTAAACAGCCGTTGCCGGGCAGCCGTGTAAGTATGTAGAGCACAACAAACTGCTGATATTATGCGTATGTACGAAGACCAGCAGTAGATCTACTGCTGAAGTAGTAATGTCTCCCACACGCTCCGCTCTCATGGCCATGACATTCGTTCACCTCTGCTCACTCACGGAGACAGCTAGTCTATCACATTATTATTATTATTATTGTTATTATCGCCTGACCCTAGATGGTGTAGACTAAAAACTATGCAACATATATATATATATACACTTTACGTCATTTCTCTTCCTACCCTTCTTTGTTTTGCATGTCACTATCGCAAAAACTGGATAAAAACCGCGGCAAACTATTCAATTCCGTACTAAAGATAGAGAGGGGTTTAGTCTACACATTGCTGCAGATAGACACGAACGGCACACCCGACCACATCGACATCGCGCTCGTTTTCGCGGCTACTCTCTCCTCTTTCTCGTCGGTCTCGGCGAAAGAGAAAAAAAAAAAACACGAGGCAAAAGCAGTAGATGAAAGGCCCGTCTGTGGCACCTATAACAACCCACAACAAGGGAGCACACGAAGAATTGCGCATGTTTCTCGACAACAGACTACAAACTACGACACGGAATACCGTACCAGGTCACACATCTACTGTAATATGTAGACTTGCATTCGCGTATAGTACAAAATTACACCCATCAAGAAGAGCCGAAGAGCAGCCTGGACCTTTTGTACGATAGTCCGTCCTGATCATTAATTGTCCAACTTTCTTTGCGATTTACTTATTATGCGCATGTTTTGTACATCCAACTCTTCAGTGGAAGTCGAAACAAGCCTTTCGCATACATCGCCCCCCGCCCTGAAGAACGTGTGGCGTTCCTTGCGGCCAGCGACGACACATTGGAAACATTCAGCTAGGAATATAACTTTGTCCCGCGCGGACAAAAGACAGAGGAAGGTATGGTGTGGACCTGGTGGGTCACCTGCTCCTTGAAGGCTACTGTAGAGTACCAGTCTACCAACAGCTACAGCACTCGTATTTATTTGCACGGAAGCCGGGGGGAACAACCTGTAGCACTGGTTACAAAATATCCAGCTGATGAGCACCACGAACAAACACACTTTTTTCGTTCTTCCACAGAACTGTCAAGCACTGCTGTGGGTTCCTACAAAATGGCCTACCGCCGATGTCTCTCGAGCATCAATGTTGCGTGCGACGTGCGGTGCTGTTCGTAATCCCCTACTTCATGCATATCCAACCCCACCACCATTCATTCCCAGCTTTGTTTGTCTGACAATGCGATAGTCGAAGAAAGAGGACAATTGTCAACGCCATCACCACGGGCAACCACCGGCCCCCCTCCCCTTTCGTTAGCAGGGGGCTTAGGTCGTGAGGGGATAGACCCTACCCGTCATCCACTCGAACCAATGTCTGCCACGACGAATGGCGACTACCACCAGCAGTTATGCAGCAGCAGAAAAAACGCCTGAACAGAGGCTACCTCACACCTCTGGTGCTCAACCGGTTAAAACCCGAAACTCAAGCCTCCATCCAACCTCCACTGCTGTTACAGATACCAATGCGGTCTGGCGAACTGCAAACGACGCCATCGCTGTAAGCTAACCCGAACAGAAACTGCTGGTATCAGATGAAGCAAAACCTAAAGGAATATTTTCTTTCCTCAACTCTCGGAATAACTTGGCCATCAGCCCGCGGCAGCCGGAAGCAAAGAAAAAGGTTCCCTGTAGTTTGTACCCTTTACACCTATCACCGTGTTCTCTTGTGAGTGTAAACAGGAACAGTGGTTGGCCTCGAGAACTTAAACCTAGTCAAACCGAGGTGCACACAGCGACCCATTTCAAAAATTCAATTCTCTGAACAACAGATCCCTACTGCCTAGACAAGGAAAAGGGGGTTGCTCAATTGTGCAGCGATGCGATGCTATACGTTATGCGAACTGCGGTTTGGGTCATCCTCCCCCCTGGTGTATGCATGCCTTGCCTTAATCCGCGTGCAGCAACGGTAGTGGTGGCTGTGCGGTTGGTGGCGTGGTTGGTGGAGGTGCCGGCTCGGGCGGGGGTGGTGGTGACGGTACTTCTGATCGATCTTGTTGTCGCTCCTCCTGCTGCTGCTGCCCGCTCCTTCTCCCAAGGTGTTGTTGGACGCCGACCTGTTGTTGTTGATCTGCCGACTCCATCTGGTTCGCACTTAGGGTGTTCAAGTCTTGCCTGTTCAAACGTCGACGTTGCCACCCCATTGTCATCGCCACGTGGATTGAAGACAGCCGTGTGGGAAAGGGAGAGAGGAACGGGTTAGGGGCTAGGTTAGTGTTCATCTGTTGCCACCCTCATCTCTCTCGAGGTCGCGGATCATACCCGCTTGCAACAATCCTGACATTCGGACGCCCGTGACGTTCTCGTGGTGCCTTGCACACCAAGGTTAAGGATGCATCCCCTCAGAATGAAGAGTAAAAAAAAGACGGCCTGCTTGATTTTGGTGGTCTGAGATACATACAAGCTCGCCGGTATACTGCTGTGGTGGACAAAGTTGTTACCGGAAGTGCGTGGTGCGGACCAAAACAAGACCAACAATTACGGGCCAAAACAAAGACAGACAACAAACAATGCGTGTATCTGTATCAGGCAGGTCGAATAGTCCATGACTAGATGCCCATTCTTGGACAACATCCACGATTAGTCCAAGCGAGACTCCACCTGCAGCATGGGCAGCGGGCACTGCGCTCGAGCCATCGCTCAATACAGCTCCTATGAAATGCGTGTCCGCACGTCACGAGGGTAACGACGTCTTGTGCTTGAAAGGCTTCCAGGCACACCGGACACGCGACCGAGCTTCCTCCGCGAGGCGGCCGGCACGCCGGGAACATCCCGCCCCGCCGGTTTCTTGCTTCCGACAACCCTGAAAAATGCACCCAAACGCAACAACACTCATACCCCGGATCGACGATATCAGCAACAAAATATTCGGAGCTTACAACAGCGCGCGATGACAACCGAAAATAAACCGAACAGACCGGCGGATGCCTATTGAATGCGGAGAGTGCGAACAATTCAGCAGCTGATGGCAAATAAATTGAACGAGGTGGCATACTTGTTGATCGACAAGGTGTATGAACAGCAGTGTGCTGTGGGAGCGTTCCCGCGGGATGTATGGACGGCACAATAGTGATGCGAGGTGACTGAGAGCCGTTGGTAAACTCACGTTTATCAGATAACAAACGCAAGGACCCCGGTCGACACGGCACCCCTGGCGGGCGCACCGCCATCGCCACCACCGCCGCCTCGCTCCCAGATGCCACTACGCTGTTGGTTTCCACCCCACCAGCGTCTGGTTGTTCCGCTTCGACCACCGTGACTGCGGGAGCAGCATCCGCAGGAGCAGGAGCACCAGCAGCAATGTCACTAGTGGAGGCGTTTCGAACCTCGTTTGGGCCCTGGCCAGTAGTATCTCCATTGTTTGCGCCCAGCTCATGCAGTGCACCATTCTCATCGCGAGATCGGACGACATCCTCTCCGTCCCTTGCCTTCCCTTCCGCTGCCGACGCCAACTGCTCTCGAGTTCCCTGGCGGTCAGCCGCGCCACCGCCGTCGCAAATAGCGTGCCCCTCGCCATCTTGCTCTTTCTTTTCCTCGGTCCACCCCCCGTCTCGTCGTGGGAGCATTTGAAGTTCATTCCGCTCGGTCTCAATTGGGTTACTGTCCCCGCCGCAAGTACCACGCTCCCCGCCCGCCCGTTCCGGCCTCTCGTGTCCCGAGGCACATGCCGTAACACCATCAGTGGGAGGCACGGCCGTCTCGGTTCTAGAATTCGCCACCGGATCGTAACATGCGTCGTTCTTCTTCTCTTTCTGCCTTCGGCCGCGGGGGAAGGCAACCTCGCGTTCTCGTCTCCCTGGCACGGCCGACGAACCGTCGCATAAATGTGTTGGCGACGCGTGCGAAGATGACAGGGCGGAATCCGGGTGTAGCTCCCCGACTCGAAAGTCCTTTTCTTCCTCCCCGTAAGGCTGGCTTCCGTCGCTATCACGCCGGAGGTAGAGGCGTCCATTCGGCGATTCAATCTCCTTCGCTCCCTTTGCACCTAATTCAAGTTGTCGTGCGTAATTAAATATTCCCATCCGACGGCAGTTCGAACCGGACTTGATTCGTTTGTCAGCATTGCCAGTGAGACGCGGAGGGTGCATTGAATCGTAGCACGGGCACACGGCGTTACCAAAACAAAGATTGCAGGGCTAACAGTTGGTCACGGCAGCCAACCAAGTGCCGAGCCTCTGAGCCCCCGTGGAACTTCTGGAACAACACATTGGTTCCCCTTCTGTCTGCCTCGAAACCTAACAAGGCGTTGCCCGCAGTTCGGATTTACCGAACGTTCCCACCAAGACCGCACGTCGATGCCGCGAAACCACGTCTACCCAGCAAACGTCCCCACCTATTTGCCCTTCTGGTTCAGCTGCAACGCTCGCAGAGGAGGCCGTGGTCGCGAAAGGAGCGGGTATTTCCGCCTTTAAGGGCGACACAAAGCCGTCCCCAGGCTTGGCTCGGAAGTGGATGAAACTCTTGCGAGTGCGCGGATCTAGCGCTCTCCTTTGCCTCTGGTCCACGCCTGAACCCCCGAGTATTCCCGCTTCCCCCTGGCGTGGATTCTCCCGAATCGCTCCATGAAAATTATCTGCGAGATTTCGGGCGGAGGTAAGCGGGCCCCGTTGCGTTCCAAGCGGTAAGGCACTGGCCTACATTGCCCTTGACGGGCACAGCAGTTTCGCGAGACAAGTAGGGGACACGTTTGATGGCCTTCTCTCTCCTAGGCGGCGGCGACGGTGAGGACGAGCGCGAAGAGTCGCACTGGGTAAGGACCGTCGTCCATCAACCGGAGGGAGGGCCGGGGTGCGTCGGTCCGCTGTTCTCTCATTCCCGTGCAGCACCAGCAAACAACGAATCCGTTGGGTTTCATCCTCACACAAGCTGCACAAATCGCGTCCCCCCTTTGAGTGAAGTTCCACGCGCGCACTCGTGTTGACGCTGGAAACCGTCTTGGTTCCGGAAAGCTTGCCCTCGAAACGGGAGACAGTCGTTTGGGATAAGCCAAGGAAAGTCGCCCTTTTGAGTCATCCTTTTGTGCCGGTGCCGTGGAGTACGGCGGAGCGTTTGGTCGGCAACAATATCCCAGGTGCAAATGTAACGAACAGCTTCCAAAAACGCTCTAGGTTGGGACACGAGGTACTGGAATATTACCATGTGATGGTGTCCTACCACAATGCAGCAGTACTGTGAAAGACAATACTCAAAGTGCAGGGTGTGAGCGTAAACAAGTTCCAGGATTGTGCGGATTGTTTGGGACTGAAAGTTCCCGGGACCTCGCGTGGTGGACACACAAGTTGAAATACAACGTTTTTTTGTTGAGTTGGTACGAATGTTAGAAAATACTTCCAAGTATTTAGGGCGGAAACAAGCATTAGTGTAAAGTCGTTTGGGAGTTAGTGTGTGTTCCATCTTAACCCGGCTTCACGTTCAAGGACACGCACCAACATGGGGGTCAACGTCCACCAGCAAGTAGAAGGGTGGACAACAACAGTATATGAACAGGAGCATGGGGCTGACTGAAATCACAGAGATTGTGCGATTTTTCATACCAATCAAGTAGTTAAGGGTATATACCTCGGTATGGGAGCTCTGCCGTTGGGTTGTCCCGCCTGTATAGCAACTCCGACAACCGGAGCGCTAGACCATCGCCGTCATGGTTCCCAGCGATGGCGTTGCTGCTGGGGGGGCGACCCTGCTGCCTCTGCGGTGGTTGTTCGCCGCAGGTCCAACAACAGAGTGGTTTATGGCCGGATGCACATATTGGAGAACGTATATAGACTTTAAACAGATGCTTCACGACAACGGAGAACTGATCGGGCGTTTGGCGCAGGGGTTATGTCCAAGCACCCAAATTTCGAACCTCATCCAATTGGGTGCTTCTATGTGCTGTTTCTTTAGCTACAGCAATGCAGGACCTTTTGCAGCGGCGGGTACGGGGAGCATCTGTCAAAACACGGACAGCAGCAGCCTTCGCAAGGTTTTTTTATTAAGTAGGCATGTTGGGTAATGCATGCAATCGGGGAAGTTGGGTCAGGGTTCAGGGTTAGGGAAGAGGTTCTGCGTACCACCTCCCTCTTCCATTTCCTCATTAATTTCATTTCTCGCAAAGGCGGAAACACACATTTCGCCTCCGAGTGGGGAAGACCAGCTCAACGTCCCAAAACAGCCCATCCCGCTCCTCGTCCGCCGCTTCCGCCGCACGCTGCCGCCCTCTCCCCGTGCCCGTGCCCCTCCCGGCTTCGGCCATGCTAGGCTCGTTCTGCCGCTGGAACCTCGGGTCGTCTTCAAGCAGATGTGTTCACACATTTCCGAGTGACAAACCAAGGAAAAGGCGACGTGACCGTAAGGCACCAATATTAGCTGGGCATCGGCGGGTTGCTCGCCATTCCTACTTCTATTCACCATTGCACGCCCTCGGTGGACGCCCCTTAAGCTTCACACCCGGTGTGTGGTTCGCCGTCTGTCTGACTTTTATCACTAGCCTCGTCTCGAGCCTAGTTGCCGTCAGTTTCTGGTACGGAGGTGAACTGGGCACGTTTTGAGACCAAAACGGCCGGGTGTTTCCGTACAATTTGCGATCGCGATTTAGCTGCGATCGACGATGGCTCAAACTCCAAAGGGACACTTTTCACTGCTGCGCGCGACTGAAGTTCAACTCACACAACTCATTCCGCACAAACCAGCAGCAGCAAAAGGCTTACCGGCAGGTTGGTCCATCGAGAGCGACTGGTCGTTGCCGCCGTCGTCCTCTTCCTCCTCGTCGAGGAATAAAGTGTCCCGTGTCAAGTAGATCGTGCGCAAGAAGCCCAGCGTCATCTAAACCCATGAACGGTTGAGCGGCCAGGGACACGGGCAGCGAGTTCTGTTCGACTGAACGGGCAATTGCTGAGAGGACAATGGCGGGATTGAGGGGGGATTGCCTCATACTTCTTTCCAAACCCCTTGGTGCTGAGTGTGAAGATGAGTGAGCGGCGGACGAGAAAACCTCCTTCATAGTGCGACCGCCCGCCGTGTTCAAGGCACTTATCCCTGTCCTGTTTATGCTCCTGGCGTTGAGAGCGGTTTGGGCCACCTGGACTACAACAGACAGCAGTATACGCGTATCAAGAGGCATCATGCTTAAAAAGCGAATCAGATCGTTCAAGTTAGGGAACTCGCGTTTACAGACGACTTCTCAAGCGTTTATGACAAGGGCGGCGTGTTACAGTTGTGTTCTAAATCTCATATTTGCATATGTAGGATTTCGACTTTTTTACTCTTCGCAGCCGTTTTCTCCGCTGGGACAGAATGTTTTCTCGTACTTTCTTCTGCTGCATGGCACGCAGAGGACCCGTCGGTACATTACCCGTTTCGTGTGGGGCTCGCGAGACACCGGTGGTGCGCGTTAGGGCCGCCTAAAGTCGCTGGGACTGGCTTTTTCTTCAGGGGTTGGGAATCCGAACCATAAAAGCCTCCTCGAACGGCACGAAAACTGAAAACAGAACTTTTTTTTTACCCCGCGCCACGCGCCACGCGCCCACGCGCCCACTCACCTGCTGCTGTGGTTGTTGTGCACAAAACCACTACACGGCACCTGGCGCATGCGTACCCACAGCGGGGACCAAGACTGTTGATGCTCATGGGAACACACCACGCGACAGAGAAGTTCTCTCGCACAACTCTGGCAGCGGTAAATTTTACGTTTCAATTCCGAAAAATCGAAAAAAGTCAAATATAGAAGTTTGATTCTGTAGCAGTCTACATCTATCTGTGACTGTTCTTGGGCACGTTGAGCGTCTCTTTGATCCGTTGTTGTCGGTGTATGCGTGAAAAAGTCCCACAGACCATGGGAAACACGATCACACAACAAGAGAAGGGATCAAACGCAGCGGATTACAGCAGTAGGACCTGCAGCAAACCGCTATTGTAGCCAAAACCACTCACTCGCGCACAAGGGAAAGTCACGGCGGGAGAACACAAAATACCCCGCACATATGATGCAAATTCCAGGCAAATTATTAGTATGCAGGTTGCACGCAAGCCGGCACTACCGACCGTTATGACGACCAACCCGGGAGGCAAACCGCCTGCCTCCCGCAGGGGAACCTTGTACTACATACAGTAAAGGGCCAAACATCCAAAAAATGACCTCCCGGTAACATCTATTTAGCGCCTGCTCATGAGCACCCAGTTTGGCCGACACTGGGGTTCTTAGTTTCCTAGCTAGGGTTATGCTACAAATGGCCGCAATATAGGTTCCAGTGCAGGGGTTCCTAACCGGGCTCACAAAAATGGTGCTCAACTTCTTACGTTTGGATATAATGCTGGGCATGAAGTCTTAACTAACTGCCAAGATCGTGAGTGCGAGGGCTAACTGCGGAGTATCAATCAGCAGCAGAACAAAACGGCTTGCGCGTTGGCACGCTTAGACCTGTCTTGTAATAGTTGATCCGCTGGCTGATTAAAAAAACAATCGAGGTAGAAACCAGCAATCACACACTAGACACGCAAGCCCAGGTGGAACGTGTTGATCAACACACGACCCGTTCGTTGTCGCACAAAGCACCGGTCGGGGCTATGTCCACCAGCGTATAGCGGAGTCTACCTCCACACACCTTCTCTGATATGTTGTACAGCGGACGAAAAATCCGCCATTCTATAAATTCAAAGCGGAACAGGCGACACGGCGGATGCCCCCAGCAGGTAATTTGCGGATGTAGGAACCCGAACAAGAAATGCGATGACCTTGGGTGACCAGGAGAGGATCTCATGGACATGCGCGTCGACACGCCCAGATCTGCCACTCGGGCCGCGCGGCCGAAGACTGCAGCTGCTGTGCAGGCCGAAAAGTCCATGAATCTGCTCGGTCCCTAGTCCGTGCCATTCGCGATCCGCTGCTGTACTCGCCGCCACAGACCCAAACTGCTGAAAGCGCGGGTGTAGTCTACAGCAGTCTCCACACCGCAGACATAGCTCAAACCACTACTTCGTACAATGTAGCTGCCTGGTGCACCGCAGTTCGGGGAATTGGGTCTGTGACGGCGGCGCTACAGCGGTGGATCGAGCCTACAGCAGTGGATCGTGCAGTGGATCGTGAACGACACAAAGAACTCGACACAGATGTGGGAACGATTTCGGCCCGTACAGCTGCAGCCTTCGCTCGCGCGGCCCAATCACAGATCGGGTGTGCCAACGTGCGCCTCGCTGCTCAATGATGCCCTCTACTGCTGTGCGACAGCTTTTGGTGTCGAAACTCTACAGTACACCCACAAAATCGCCCCTTGTTTTTTTATTGCCCTCGAATATCTTGGGTTTAGGGTACATAGTGCTGTAAGAGCCCGACTTCCCGCCAACCTTGGTAGCACCCCCTTGAACATGGTTTGCTCCAGGCTTTTGTGTGTAGGTTCAAGCTAAAATGTTCCGTGCCTTTTGGCTTCTTGTGCTAATGTTTGGACAGATGGATTTTGGCTGTTCGAAGCACCAGCAGTACCGCATAACTCCCGTCTAAGATCGACGAATGCTTCATGTTTACTGCTGTACAGCCGCCAGTACAGCAATACGTGCATACATCGCGCAGGCTGCAGCAGGCAGCCAGGAGTACAGGCAAAGACCGTTGCCATGTTTCTCACCATCACCACAAAGATAAAGCTCAGGATTCCTCCCAGGCTGCTCGCGGAACTGCCAACCATGGCTCATGCATGTACAGGTGGTATGGGATCAGCTGTATGGGATGGTTGATCCGATACGCTCCTCACGGCAGCAGCCGACTCAACATGCGGGGCCCCTGACAGGCACGACAGCTGCCGTGTGCAGCTGCTGCGTGGTCACACTTGGGGCCCGAGGACAATTCACGCCCTCCAGTGAGCAAACGGACCCGATCCTTCACGCCAGCTAGTGAGAGCGACAGCAGAGGGAGCGGAGAGTGGCGTTGATCCAGGCCAGTGCTGCTGCGGAGAGCAGAGTCAGTGGGTTGGGAGCACATGATGAGATGCCGGTGTATGCATACCTGTCTGCGTTTTCATCCACGGACTCCCTTGTCCCCGACGGCGCCCAGATCCACCAGCAGCCAGTGCTCAATGCTGCTCAATTGCCGCAAGCTCCGAGCTACAGTAGCGCAGGGTGCAGAGGCCGTGGTTTACAGAAGCACGAGACCCCAATTGTTTCCTGACTAACACCAGTGTTGGTGTTTCATTTGCTGACGAAAACACAGCAGACGGCACAAGTCTGCAAAACTAATATCAAGACAATATGGAAATTGTCCCGCCGCCTTTTCGATTTGGGGCGGTCGAGGCCGACGTGTTTCGATCCGCGCAGCCGACACTCAAGAATTATCGGTTCCTCTCCAGGTGAGACGTGCCCTAAATTTTGCATCTGATTGTATATGCGCATCTCTGTCTGTTGTACGCCTTCTCTGCCGCTGCTGCATCACACCGGTACAGTAGAGGCAGCCCATGTTACATGTTTGGTTGTGTAGCAGAACTATACGGCGTGGTCTACATGGTGTACAGATATTTCCCGTGCGCGTGCACATGTAGGCGCATCATGGGGTCTGTGACTTGTGCTATTTAGGACTACTCAGCAACCTACACCATCATACTGCATGCAATGCCTGTACGTATGCATATGCAGCACCGCTACAGTACTGGGCTGCACCCAAAGAGGAAGTCTAATTTTGTATTTTTGGAAACACTATCGCGATGATCACTCGGACCCTTGCGGAGGGATTTTTGTGTTGCTTCTGTTTCTCTGTACGGCTGCGGCGCGTAAGAACATGATGAGAACGCACGATTGAGCACCGAATATGGTACTCTGTAGCGAACACGCGTTAGCTCCTGTTGTTCTAGCGTCATGATTCATCTCTGGGTTCTATTCTCGTGTCCAATTCAACCAAGAAACAATCAGCTTGTTCGTTCGCGCTGATTACGTGCGCAGCTGGTTCACAAGCCCTCGTTGCCGACTAAAGCCGTAGACTAGCCTATGGAAGCGCCGACAGACCAGTTTCTCCGAAACATTCCTATACTTACGTAGAGAGTCGAACAGCGCAGAAGGTTTGCCCCATGCACGACTGCTGTATTCCGGCAGTGTATCATGGAAACGTACGATGGGTAGCTTCTCGCTTTCGGTGACTCGTGTGCCGATCCGCCCCACCACCACGGAAGGTTGGCACATGGCACACGGAAGGAGTTCCGTCACGCTTGAGGAACCGGGCCGTTGCTACAGAAAGGTCACACATCAGTGCAATACCCAAGCGGCAAGACAAAATTCCAAACAACTTCGGTGGATGTTTGCGCTATTCCCGACCACAAAACGCGGGACCGTTTCATCCACATCCTGCCCCTCCCCCGCCCCGGGTTAGGTTGAAGCTTCGCACGGTGGTGTCGATAGCGCCGGAGGGACCGATGGAAGACGAGGCCATGTTTTGCAGGGAACACTCGGCGCAACTAGTGCCGGTTCGCGCCGAGTTGTACCGTGAAGAGGCGGTAACGGTGTCGTGTCAGCAGGTGGCGCAGGTACTGTCTGATTGGCTGACAACGAGTGTGCGTATACGCGGTCAGGAAGGGGGGTGGGGGTTTGCCACGTGGTCACGTTGCTGTCGCTGTCGGTGGTGCCGTGCAGCGAACCAAACCGTGCGCTTTACGGCATGCGTCAACGTTCCTTTTCCAGCTGGAAGCCAGCATACCTAGGCGAACCCCAGAACAAGCGTCAGCATTTGTCGAATACAGAGAGCTTGTTTCATCATCCGTTTCTTCCCCCAGTTTTTGGCGATGGGGAGTTCCCGCAAGCGTCGCCGTTGTCTGAGATGTTTTGATGTTTTCCACGCGTGTTCGCACGTAAACGAGAAACCGTCAATTCTCGCTCCGGTAACGTGGGAACAATGCTCCGTCCGTCCTCTCGAGGACGCGCGGTCAATGGTCTAACCGGTAAGACGTGCAATACATGAGTACGCCCCCCCCCCCATCTCTCGAAAAACCTGTGTCAAGGTTCTGTCCATTCTTGCCGACAAGGACAGGCTGCCGGCCCTGGTCCACTGCCCCGATGGTCGCGTTCTGAGCGGGGTCGTGCTGTGGTGCCTGAGGCGGCTGCAGTGCTGGGACGATCGGGCTTCCGCCGCGGAGTTCGCCCGGTTCTCCGGTGTCCTGCCCTCGAGAGAGGTGCGGTCAAGCTTGGCTTAGATTTGTTGTTGTTGTTGTTGTTGTTGCTGGTGCTGGTGGTGGTGGTGGTGCTGGTGCTGGTGCGGTTGTTGTCGTTGTTGGTTGCTGTTGGTGGTGGCGGCGGTGGCGGCGGCGGCGGTGTTGTTGTTGTTGTTGTTGTTGTTGTCACGATTCGAAATAGTCATGGGCAAACAAGAGTGGTACATACATATCCCGTGGTACGATATCCACATCATCGTGATTTCATCTGGGGCGTTCGTCGTCATTCCAACCGCACCAACCCCTTCCGTGGGAGCTAACGATAGATACTCTAGGTGAACGTTTTTTTTTTTTCGAGCGCTCCTCTTACCCCTGCTGGGCACGGTTGGCACCTTCCAGGTGGAAAAGTTCGTGGAGAGCTACGGGGAAGAGGTCACCGTTCCGGCGAACGTTCCTAGGTGGCTGTGGGGGGGGGACAGGGCGCACTGGCACCCGTGCATTCGGATCCGGTGAGAATGAGGCAGGAAGATGACGCGAGGAACAACAAATAGTGATGCTGGCGCGGCAGCGTAGATCGTGGGTCGTCGGAGAGAAACGTTCCCTGGAGGGGGAAACGGGGCACGGTTTTGGTTGGGCTGCAGCCCTATGCTGCTGCTGTTGCTGCTGCTGCTGCTGCTGCTGATGCTGCTGCTGCTGCTGCTGCTGCTGCTGCTGCTGCTGCTGCTAATGCTGGTTTTTTGAGACGGGCGTAAAACACCAACTACCATGATGCACCTGTCGATAGTACCACGGGCAGTCCCCTTTTTTGTTGTTCCTCACCACCGCCGTGACGAAATGCGGCTTTTGTTGCGCCCGGCCACAAAGTACACGTCCCGAGAGACCGGCGACATATCTCACTTTGTCGCGGTCGATATTAAAAAATCTGGTCCAAACACCGAAGGCGCATAACCTGTGCTTGTAGGAACGCCTCCAAGCGAATAGAACCAATTGGGACCAGAGAGAACGGCGTTACAATTTCCAGATTTTGAAACACCATGTGAGTCGGGGAAACAACAACCTTTGCCTCTCCTTGGTGGCGTAACATCCGACCTACTTCTGGCTCTGCCTTCGCGCGGCATCCTCATGTGACCGCGTGGTCATGGCGTCCGATTCTTTTATGGTCGGGTCAGGCATCAGCCGCCGCTGGAAGTGTTCGAGCCGGACCCTCTCCCTTCCCAACAGACGCTCAGGTGGGTCTTTGTCGGCTCTGTGCAGAAAACGAAAATCCTGCAGGCCGGTCGGTGGTGGTCGTTGTGGTATGTGGCTCGATCATGGTGAAAAGGAAGACTTGCAACCACCTTCGTGTTCGGAATTTTGGCTGGCGGTGGTGGTGGTAGTATACCGTCGCTGCCGCTGTTATTGTTTCTTACTGTTGATGGCCGGCAATCGTCTCTTGCGTCTCGTCTTAACATCCTTCCTTCGGGAGACTCGGCGAGACGCGGCGGCTCCGAAAGCCGAGCAGGTGAGAGGCCGTAGGCCACGACTTTTTGTTGACGACACAACAACACCTCCCGGACTAACCTCAAGCGCGCACTCCACGAACAAGCAGGGGCGAGGTCTACACGAGGACGGACTATCTTCGAGTGCGGCGGGACTACATGCACGCAAAAAATAAGATCCCTGGGGGAGGCGGGGGCGGCGGAGGCGGCGGGGGGGCGGGGGGGAGGGGAGGGAGCGGGAGCGTTGGCGCCAGGGGACAGGGGACGGGCTCGTCGAGGTGCGTTGTCCATGCCCTGCTTGGTCGGCGCGTGGAGAATAGCAATTGATGCTTGCTTGGCTTCGCGTCTTGGTGCCATGTACCGATGGAACAGCAAACACGCAGGGTCGGAACAAAATCGTACTTGGAAGTAGAAAAGTGCAAGGTTAGGGCGAGGGTTAGGGCCTTTTCTTTGAACCACTCGGCGCCACTTGCTGGTGCTTAGCCCTGCTGCGCACACAATGACTGATTTTAGTTTGAACGGTTCCCGTTTTTGGTGCCCATGGTCTGTCGCTTTGCCTGATTGGCTGCCACGTCACGCCCCGCCGGCGTTCCGCCGCATCTGGTTTCGCCAAGCCTCGATTTTTTACGTCTACAGCAGTGCGTTTGAGTTCTGCCCGTTTTCTCCCCAAAGCTGTTTCCTAGACAGGTCTCCTTCCTATCTGGGTGTTGATGTAAACGTTACAGCAGGCGCCCTTTGAAGGGGGGCGACGTAATCTATAAGGGGGGGGGGGGGGAGGGTGAACGTTCCCAGCACCGCCTTCTCAGGGGATCTGCTGCATACGTAGAATTCCTCAGCAGTGGAGCCTCTTCTTGGGGTTTAGTTTGTCCGCCAATTTTCAATGGCCGTTCCTACTTAACTAACTGACAAGATCGTGGTGTTTTCAGGGCAGATTTTCGCCGTCGCACGCGTGTTTGTGCCCTCCCTCCGGCTTTGGCGCACTCCTTGGCCCTGCGTCCCGGCGTTTCCACGACCAGAGACCACTCCTCCCCCCGTTCCGACTCGGCTGTCTGCCTGCCTGTCGGCGTTGTTGCCCGTCCCTCTCTACTTGCCGCGCTCGTGTTTTTCGTGGTGGGGCGCACGTGTGTTTTGTGCGCGCGCTATTGTTGTGCCTGCGGCGGAACAGGAGAAGATCGGCGAGCAGCCGCGGACAAGCACTCCCGGGGCCCCTGTCTCTCGAGGACAGCTTCAGCCAAGACATGCAGGCAACCAATAAATGACACTGCCGTAGGACGACTTTCTTGGGTTTGTGTGGCTTTTTCAGCTAAGAGAGTTGTTGCCGCTCGAGAGGGTCGTGGTGGCGTATGGACTGCCTTCTCGAGAACTTAAGTTTATGAGGGAATAGGACAGAGAGGGGGTACGCAGACCGTATTCCCTAACCCTAACCCTAACCCTGATCCAACTTCCCCGATGGCATGCTTTATCCAACATGTTTACTTGATCGAAAAACCCTGGGAAGGCCTTTGTCCGCACGGGCTTCACTTGCGAGGCCTTGCCTCGAAGCAACCACCGCAATCGGTGACGCCAACACGATTTGCGCCGAACCTGTTTTCCCTGCCTTTGGAACCCAAGCGAAGGCCGTCTTGCACAACGACTGCTGTGGTGGCAGGCCAATCCCTATCTTTCACAGTGTATGCACGCATGTCAGCCGAGCTTTATTAGGGTGACAGCACATCGAATCCAGGGATTCCGCAGCTCGGGGTGATGTTGGCGGTGTTTGTGGGTGTGCTGATGATGGTTCTCGCGATTTATCTACCCAATGTAGAAACAGTTGGTTCACCTTTTTTCTTCTTTCGTGCTTCGATTACCTCTGCCGAAAACATACGCAGGACATCAACATGATGATGGAGGAGGAGGAAGAGCCCAAGCTGTCGAGAGCAGTCCAGGTGCTCGAGTGTGTTGTGCGTTGTGGGATGCTCCCTTGTTGCTTGTCTCGAATTCTGGCTTGTGGCCATTGACCAACCACCACACCATCATCCCTTTCCAACCGAACACTTTTCTGTTATGGACATGTTTTTTTTTTTCTTCTTGCTTTTGGTGGAGCCACGTCCAACCTCTGGGGGTTCTTGGCGCCCTGTCGTGTTCTGTTGTATGTATTACCCCCTACTTAGCAGTAAGGTGTTGCCGCAACCCCCCCCCCCCCCTCCCCAGCACCTCCTTTGTCGAGGAGAAGGATGAGGAGGAGGAGGAGGAGGTGGTGGTGGAGGAGGAGGAGGAGGAAGTTTCACAAGAACTTGGCGAAAATGGAACCCTCTTCCCCCCTGCAATCAATCGCCGTCGGTTGTACATGTCAAGATTATTCGTTGGCCAACCGCATGTGACTCCTACCCTTCAGAAATGCTGTGAGCGTGACGTAAAGTGATGAAATTATAAAGGGTTCTCTTGTTGTCGGTGCCGGTTACGAAACGAGCATGGTAGTTCATGAGGGTCGTGCCAACAGCTATTTAGCTCTCTGCAGACCACCGCATGCCGCGCACCCTGGCCAACCAACCACCTTGCGCCCCCACCAATCCATGTCTCGATCTTTGCCAAAATGTCAAAGGCGTTAATGCTCGAGGGGCTCGACGTAGCACCGTACGAGGACGATGAGGACGACGATGCCTACGAGCAGCAGCAGCAGCAACAACAACAGCAGCAGCAGCAGCAGCAGCAGCAGCAGCAGCAGCAGCAACGACAACGACACCAGCACTAGTCGCAACGAATATCCAGCACCGGCAGTGTCCATGCTAGTTTCTCTATTCAGCGGCGGGAGCCTCGGGGACGGTCGGCAGCCCTGGTGGCGGCCAACCGTGGAATCGAGATACGATGCGGTCGTTCTGCAACTGGCGAGGTTTACGAATTGGCAACTACACGTAGCGAGGTTGATTGTGGGTGATTGTAAATATTTTTCTGTTGATGACACCCATTGTCCAACAAAAATTTGATGGTTCACAGAGGAAGATGGCCGATTTTTTCTTGGGTCATCCATTCGTTTGGCCGAGAAAATTGGCGCGAGTTGCGTTGTGAGGAACACCCACACGCCATCAGCTCGATCAGCCGCATGCATCAGCTGTGGACTTGATTGTAAGCCCGGTCCTCGAAAGCTCTCGCCCTCTCGCCCACACAGCACTGTTCCTATTGCAATCGGGAGCGTGCTTGCAGTTCCTCCTTGCGTGTTTCTGGCTTTTCTGGACACCCGACAATAACTAAAAGTGTGCGGAACACCACCCATCATCCTGTTTTTGTAGCGCGCGGCAAGCAAAAAAGACTCATTAGACCCATCGGTGACAGCAGTAGTGGTTGGAAAGCCGCTGTAAGAGATGCCAAAGTATGTTGGAGAACCAAGGTCCAGTTTGGTTCTAGTGAGGGTTCTCCATTCCTTCAACTCATGGCTGCAGCTGTCCCCGACTCGTTTCAAACTGTGGGGCCTCAGCGCCTCCTTTATCCGCCTTGCCTCAAGACCCACATCATCATTGCATCAATTATTAGCCGAATTTTCTTAGCTGTAGCCGCCATTTACGTACGCACCAAGTACCGCTGACACTCCCCCTTCATTTGTTTTTTTCCTTTTGACCCTACGGATAAAAAAACGGAGCAACCGAAACAACATCAACATCAGCATAACATATACATTAAAACACGAAACCCTTTCGTCGCGCGTTCCTTTGCTTGCGCGTTCTCACGCACGAGCACCGAAACAAACTTACAACAACTAGAGCCCCGGTTACTACCATCGCCGGCAAAACTCGTACCACAAAACAATCGTACCCCGGGGGCCTTAAGGCCGTTGTTTGCGACAGACCACTCGCAGCGAACCCTCCCCGCTTGTTCGGCAGCAGGCTGCCTTAAGGCTAAATATCTGAAGTGAACATAATAAAAAAACCGATTGTGCAACAAGTGGCCGCAAAAACATGAAACGAAAGCAAACCCACCCATCCACCCGTAGAAACGGTGTGGTGAGTCTAACCCACCTTGTATGAACATGGGGCGGCATACGCGGAACTTCTATTCGTGAGCGCCAGATGTTATCTACCGCAAAAAAAAGGTGCGAGCTCCAAAAATTGGGTGCTGTTATGTAATACGCGCATAAATACACGCTTTTCTTACGTTTTCCGACATACAGCACTATGTACCTCAAGTCATCATGCGGCCTTTCTCGGAAAAATACCAAAAGGGAGAGCATGGCATACACCGCGACTGCCTTTTAAGAGGATCTCGCCCACTATACAAACAGCGAGCACGTGCACACATGAAGCAAACAGCCACGAAGACACCCTCCCCGATCGCAAACCCCTCTCTCTGGTAGTCCCACCAACTCCTGAACACGAGAACGCCTGCGGAATGGAGAGTACCGAAAACAAACGTCGTTTCGACGCCATAAAACACACACCAACGTAACGCCGACCCTCGAACCAAGGCGACTTTTCACAGCGCCATCGGTGCCACGACTCAGGTAAACAGTGTGTCGACCCCACCCAGCCGGAAAAACTGAACACCAAACCACGATCCACGATCACCATGCAGCTGTTGTTGCCAGTTCCATTCGGCAATCAACACGCACAAAACATAACTATGCATCAACTCGCCGGGCCAGTTTACAACTGTCCCGCCGGAGGACGAGGTGACGACGTCACCGAGAAACGAGAGGAGACTTGTCATACTGTATTCACAAACGCCATAGGCAACAAAGTGAAACTACATCGAACGTCGTGGTGCTTTCTTCCTCTATGCGGCGTCCTCCCATCGCCACGATCTCCACATCCTTACGAAGAAATCTCAATATCTCCGACCGATCCTCAGAAAAAAAAGAAAAAACGCCCTCTGCTGCGGGGACAAAGCTGCACGAACGTAGGACACCACACCGTAGATGCCATCACAACTTGGGTACTTTTATCACCATCCCTTCTTTTGTTTTTCACCGTATTTCCTCCACCTTTTAACCCAAGGCAATGGCAACCGCCGCCCATACCCCGTAGTACGCCGCTGCAGCGATGACCCCTACTATGGCTCCTGTTCGTTTCCCGTTCTTCGTATTTATTTCCTCGTCTTCAGGGGCCTCCCCCTGCCCTTGCTTCGCCGCCAGATCCTTATCCGCCCCGGGGGGGGGACGCGGGCTTTCCGTCCCCTCCTCGCTATCGCGGCGTTCCCTGGGACCGTTGTCTGCCCCTTGGGGCTTCGGTTCTTCCCCCGTATCTCCTCCCGAGCCTTTTTTTCTTCGGTCGGAGGTGTCGGCGGGTTGTGATTGGTCAGCAGATTTTCCCTGTGCCGCGGGTACGCCCGAAGGGGTTTCGAGAAGAGTCCCGGGGGCGTCGTCCTTAGCATGGCCTGCTGCCTGCTGGTGGCCAGCCTCGTCAAGCAAACGGAGATCTTTGTCCCTTCTCTCGGCCTCACGGATTGCACGCCGCTGATGGGGTCCGAAAACCACGTGCACAAAGAAAACAGGAGTTTTGCCAGACGAAAAAGAAAAACACAAAAGTCAGAGATTTTCATGAGAGAAAGAACGAGAACGCGAAAACCAGAGTCATGCAGACTTCGAGCACAAGTGCGACACAAAAAAGATGAAGAAACAACAGCATTATCCAACACGATCGGCCGTTTCTAGATTGAAGAAATGGCATTGAGGATACCGGTGCGAAAACACTGCAGGAAAAAAAAACGAGGCGTTTCATGTTCCTCGTAACCATACCATCCGTGCGATTGGTTCGTACCAGCAGGACCCGACATATTCCTTGGCCTGATAGCACGTCAACAGCAAAAGGTCTCAGCGGGGCTAGCTCCGAACATACGCCCTCCCCGCGTACCCCCCTCCCACATCAACAGACCGCGGTGCCTCTACACAACGCTTTCACTGGTAACCGCTGCAAGGTTACAACGGCGAAATTTACAATGAGCGAGCCGCCGCAAGAACACAGAAAACCCTCTGCAATTTCAGCTCTCAAATGGCAGCCCCATCAGGCACCACCCGCTGGACATGAGTCACCTCAGCACTTCTAGCAGCAATGCAAAGGGGTTCCGCGTGCTGCACACCGGTACAAGGGGGGAGGGGGGGGGGGGGGGGGAG